ATACAATCTTTGTACTTTCAATTAAATCATTTAAAAAAAATATTTCCATTTTTCAAATTTCCTTCATCTCTTCGTTAGATCTCTGCAACATTAAAATGTTTGATCATTTTTTCCTGTTCTTTTCTTCACAGTCTGTCTCATAATTAATAATTCCTGGCATTCCAAATACAAGGTTTGTAAGTCTCTTTCCTTTGGAAATATAGCACCAATGTGTCAATTTATTTTTTCTTCAATAATTCTTTAATATCATCCGTCTCGGCACAGTCGTAGTACGACGTTCCGTCTGGTGCCTTACCTTCTTTACTAGCACCCTATATAGAAAGAAAGTTCATTCTGAAGTTAATACATAGTCATTTTCAATTTCAATTGCTTAGGGTTCAAGTATTGCAAAGTTTCAGCTTTTGTAGTAATCATGCTTTTGTACTGGTAAAAGACCTAAGATGTTTGCCCTTGGAATGATGCCGTGGCTGGACGATGCACTGGTAAATTCAATGTGGCTTACTGTCGTGATCCGGAGGGTAAACTACCAACATCACCACCCAGCATGGTAACAACACAAATGAATTCCAGTAGATTATTGTTTTGTGGCTGTTTTTGCCCCAGTTTACTGCATTATTTCAGCAGCAACTTGTAACAGTTCTATTGGACCAGTACTAAATGGATATACTAGATATCTGTCAACTGCCCTTCTTATCATTACATGTATGTTATTTATGAATACAAAAGTTTTGAACAACAATTTAAGTTTGGGTCATATTTTGGTGACTTCTACTGAATATGTGTCAGAATTAAAATGTATACCCATACAGTGTGTGAAATGGAGTTAAAGGGATACTCAGGCAAATTAATGACATAAATATTAAAATGATCTAATGTACTCAAATCATGCTAAAATGACATCTTCTAAAGTCCCAGCATGAATTTTTGTTTAAATCCTATATATTTTGTGTTTGAAGCATAAATATATCTATATATGTTGAACAAAATTTTGACCCCGACAGAATCAGCAAGTGGTTTTAAAACAAGTCATGTGACTTGTACAAACCCTGGATGTTACAATAACAGATATTGTGGATATTGTATGATTGAAACAAGTCTTAGGCATTCGTTTGACATGTTTTTTAATGTTTCTATAGTTCACTGTTACAACTATTGGGAAATCTGAACCATGTGGGTCAGGTTAGGAAACCACCATTTTATTCTTTATATGTACAAAAGTTTTGTCCCTGTGACTGCCTAGTGTATTCATTTTCAGGACACTTACAGAATAATGAATGAAAAAATCAAAACGAAGAAATGAATTTTGCCTGTGTCTCCCTTTAAGGCATTTACTATTAGTAACCCGCACTCCAGTTTCCGCACTGTATGTCAGGGATAAAAATAGAGCACGCGTGTTGATTGGCTCATTTTTTCTGGGGTTTACTTATTGTGACAACAGGAAATGCCTCCTTATACAAACCAGAGAGCCTCCTGTTTTGATGCTCTTTCTATTGCTTAGCTGATCAATTATTTTACATTGACTCGGACGTACCATACCTTAAACATACAAAGGATAGAACTTAACAAATTCTACACAGGTTAAGCTCATAACGCAAACTAAGAATTGATTTTCATCAACTTACTCTTTCTAATAACAACTTAACAGCATCTGTATGATTTTCCCATATTGCTGCTAAAAGTGGCGATATACCATGTTTATCTGGTTTCTGAAATTGTAACAATAGCTACTGAAAATATATTCTCTACAGATTACAGTGTAATATGTGTTAGAAATTAGAATGAAAACATCAAACAATTATTTATCACAGGTTGACTTTATATATTATAGATCAGTTTGCACTAAAATCATTCAAATGGGGAAAATAGTACGAGGGTAGTCTTTCTAAACAGGTTTCATATCACTGGTCTTATTTCACAGTGGTCTTACACAACAGTTTGACCGTACTTAGGTATTGCTTTTACTGGTCTGTTAAGGGTTGTAAAAAGTCCATTTATCATTACTACATGTATATCATTATTAGTGACATTCACAAATCTTGTAGTTCATTAACAGTTTCAAAAGAATTTTTCTATAAAGAATAAACAAGAAGACAGTAAAATTACTGACATTATCGGACAATTACGATTAATTTTGAGTAGTCAACAACCAGTCCACCTTCAGTAAGTTCTAGCATACATTTTGTATAACAAGAGCACCGCAAAGACAGGCAATATAGACACAAATGTAAATTTGTTTGTGAAATCAAAAATAATCTTTCAATTAGGGTAGAGACCCAATCAAGAAACTTGTCTGAAAAAATGTTTTACCTTAATTACCTTTATGATACCATGACCTCCATGGTGGAGGCATATAAAAATGAAAATATATTGGAAACTCTTACATTTATATCAGCACCATTATCTAACAAGCAAGTTATAACATCTGTTTGACCATAATCTGCTGCAAAGTGAAGGGCAGTTCTTCCTTGTACTTCAGTATTAATATCTCCCTGTAAATAAAACATAATAAAAATTATTTATTTTCATGTTATAAAAGCAGCAAGTCTCAATATTCAGATTTCTATATGAGATTAACAAATTGCTGTAAACAGAAATTTCTTTGTCAAATGTACAAAACTGTTTCAAGCTAGCCTCAAACACACTAATACCATCCACAGATGCTTGTCCCAAATATGTTGCAATAGCCCCTACCTGTAAATAACAGATATGGTGATCAATATACATGTAGATAAATCAGGCAGATGTTGCTAAATTAAAGAAATCTAATGTGCCACTTGCACTGTAAACCATTTCTCTACAAACCCTACCAATAGTTTAAAAAATAAAGATTTTTTTTAAAGTTTGTTTACTTGCCAGTCACCTTGGACTGGTAATATAATGATCCACCCCATAACATCTTGTCCCATTTTAATGACGATTGGCGCCACCAGATAAGATGTAGTATTTCAGTGCATACCACCAACTGATCCTTTTTCAACAAATACAAACAATGTGAACATTCTTGAACGAAAATGATTTAGAATATGGTGCAATGATGATTGATGAGGTGGTGACGAACCACTACTTAATTGGGGTGAATTAATAGTTAAATTGACCATTTTCTTTCTTATAGATTGATATGGTGAACATTTTATCTCACAAATTTACCAAAACATACATCTATTATTATTATTATTTCTTAATTACCTAAACTAGGTTTGAAATAATAATTTTGAAGAGGGGTGAATCATCACTTACGTGGATTGAGTTGTTATGGGGCAAATCATCAATGGGACGCATTGTTTCAATTTCTAGAACTTTATACAATACTATAACATGTAGAAATTATGTCACCTGCTAAATAACAGCTAATGTTAATGGGTATAACAGGAAATAAAGCTTTTAGTATAGTCTTTAATATGGAAGCACACTGCATATGATATAGGATAGTGTAAGTACAATACATCAACAAATTTGACAAAGTCTATACAACACACAGCTAATTCTCTTTCAGCTTCCTCAATCCACATTGGTGAGTTTGAGCATATTCAAGGAGGTTCAACATGCCACGTCAGTCAGAGTCCCATTTTGGGCGCCAAATGTCAAAGGGTGAGATAAATCATTAAATGTGCAGCCTGACCAGGACTCGAACCAGGGACCACCAGAATACCATACCATGGCTCTACCAACCGAGTTATCCGGACACTTACACACTTCTCCCTTTATAACTATAAGTTAACAATTTTGAACCGTGACAAACACAAATGGGAAGACAAAAAAAAAAAAAATGGCATTAATTTATTATTGGCGAAGTCATAGATTATTCAACATAAACAGGCTGGTGAAAATGCTCGATCGGGCTTAAACATAAAACATCATATTTCTAAAAAAATTAATTATTATGTTTCATTCTCACTTGTTTTATTTATTAAGAATTTATATATGATACAAATCAAAATAAAAATATTTTGGTTACCTTTTATTTTCTTAGAATTATTTCCCATTTTCCCGAAACAAAATATTTTAAGTTCATAAAAATTATGTTGTTTACAAAGTTTAAAAGAAATATATGAGCAGCGTCATGACAAAACCAACATAATGGGTTTGCGACCAGCATGGATCCAGACCAGCCTGCGCCTCCGCGAAGTCTGATCAGGATCCATGCTGTTCGCTTACAAACCCTATTACAAGTAGAGAAACTGATAGCGAACAGCAACTGCATGGATCCTGATCAGACTGCGCGGAGGAACAGGCTGGTCTGGATCCATGCTGGTCACAAACCCACTATGTTGGTTTTGTCATGACGGGGCTCATATAATAAAAATTATATAGAAATATGATTTTTTATGTCATAAGCCCGATCGGGCATTCTCAGCCTGTAAAAGTTACAGTAAACATATGTGAAAGCTAATGTGATTATAACATAATGTAAATCACTTAGGATTAATTATTAAAGCGAGAAGAATCACTGATAACGTGGGACAAATGTTACTTAACTTAATAATGAAGGCCGCACTGTTAGAAGTATTTCAGTTCCCCACCCACAAAAAGGTAAGTGTCTAAATTTTAACTTGACTATAATCTTTAATAAATGACATTTGCAATTGACAATGACCTTTTTATTTTCTATTTCTTTTTTAACTGCATCAATATCTCCATTCTTAACTCCCCACACTAACTCTTCTGACATTTTGATACTATTTTCACCGACTATTTTCTGGGGTGTTAACTACTTCACTTCCTTTTTCTACAACAAAACGGAAAGAATAGGTTCTCTCTTTAATTTAACTACACAAAAGCAAATTTCATAAAATATGCCACTGAAATATATATAGTCATTTCGTTTCAAAGCAATATATGTAATTATTATCGGATATGATATTTAGCTTTGATTTGTTAAAAATATATAGAAAAACAATGATCAAATTATATTTGGAGTAAAAGTATTCACTACTTTATAATTCGGTAAAGAGTCCCTTTCCGCGGAAAAAACTTAAGATAATCGGAAAAGGCCGATTAATAATCTATTTTAACAATATCAATAATCTATTTTAACAATATCTCTAGATAAAATTAATTTTAAGATGTTTTTCTTTATTATTCTTTTTATTTAATCATTTTTACATAGACAAGGTAGAAAAATTAAACTAGCGAACTGAATTGTTTTTTAAAAAAAAGAGAGGGCAAGTGCGGAAAAAAACCGTCTGCTATATATAATGATTTTGGGGTCCTACTAAACACTGCTAAGGACTGCTAAGGACCGCTAAGGACTGCTAAGGACTGCTAAGGACCGCTAAGGACTACTAGGGAGGCACAAAGGACCTTAAAATACCTCCTAGGGCATTCTTATAATACATGGTAGTATGTTTAGTGAAAAAAAAATTATAATTTTAAGAAAAAATATTATTTGGGTGAAAATTTTAAGAGTTGCCCGACCGCTAAGGACTGCTCAGATACACAAAAGACTGCTAGGGAGGCACAAATGACCTTAAAATACCTCCTAGGGCATTCTTTTAATACAAGGTATTATGTTTATTGACAAAAAATGTATTATTTTAAGAAAAAATATCATTTACGTGGTAAAATTTATGTTTTTGAAGAGTTGCCGGACCGCTAAGGACTGCTCAGGTGCACTAACAACTGCTAGGGAGGCACAAAGGACCTTAAAATCCCTCCTAGAACATTCTTATAATATATGGTAGTAAGTTAATAGAAAAAATATGTATTATTGTAAGAAAAAATATAATTTTGGTGATAGAATTTATGCTTTCGATGAGTTGCCGGACCGCTAAGGTGCACAAAGGACTGCTAGGGAGGCACAAAGGACCTTAAAATATTTCCTAGGGAGGCACAAAGGACCTTAAAATACCTGTTAGGGCATTCTCATAATACATGGTAGTATGTTTAGTGACAAAAAATGTATAATTTTAAGAAAAAATATAATTTTGGTGATAGAATTTATGCTTTCGATGAGTTGCCGGACCGCTAAGGACTGCTCAGATACACAAAAGACTGCTAGGGAGGCACAAAGGACCTTAAAATCCCTCCTAGAACATTCTTAAAATATATGGTAGTAAGTTAATAGACAAAACTGTATTATTGTAAAATTTAATTTAGGTTATAGAATTTATGCTTTCGATGAGTTGCCGGACCGCTAAGGACTGCTAAAGTGCACTAACAACTACTAGGGAGGCACAAAGGACCTTAAAATCCCTCCTAGAACATTCTTATAATATATGGTAGTAAGTTAATAGACAAAAATGTATTATTGTAAGAAATAATATAATTTTTGTGATAGAATTTATGCTTTCGATGAGTTGCAGGACCGCTAAGGACTGCTCAGGTGCACAAAGGACTGCTAGGGAGGCACAAAAGACCTTAAAATATTTCCTAGGGAGGCACAAAGGACCCTAAATACCTGTTAGGGCATTCTTATAATACATGGTAATATGTTTAGTGCCAAAAAATGTATAATTTTAAGAAAAAATATAATTTTGGTGATAGAATTTATGCTTTCGATGAGTTGCCGGACCGCTAAGGACTGCTCAGGTGCACTAACAACTGCTAGGGAGGCACAAAGGACCTTAAAATCCCTCCTAGAACATTTTTATAATATATGGTAGTAAGTTAATAGAAAAAAATGTATTATTGTAAGAAAAAATATAATTTTGGTGATAGAATTTATGCTTTCGATGAGTTGCCGGACCGCTAAGGTGCACAAAGGACAGCTAGGGAGGCACAAAGGACCTTAAAATATTTCCTAGGGAGGCACAAAGGACCTTAAAATACCTGTTAGGGCATTCTCATAATACATGGTAGTATGTTTAGTGACAAAAAATGTATAATTTTAAGAAAAAATATAATTTTGGTGATAGAATTTATGCTTTCGATGAGTTGCCGAATTGCTAGGGAGGCACAAAGGACCTTAAAATACGACCTAGGGCATTTTTATAATATATGGTAGTATGTTTAGTGAGAAAAAATGTATTGTTATAAGAAAAAATATAACTTTGGTGATAGAATTTATGCTTTCGATGAGTTGCAGGACACTAGTCTTGTATGTATAATTACAATGTATCATATAAATCTATATTTATACTTGTTTGTTAATGTTTATGTTGTTCTTGCCGAAACAAAACACAAGAACAACAAAATCATTTGTCAGTAAATTCAGCTATAAAAAGTGTTTCAATTTCAATTATTAAATTAATTTGTCAAACACTAGTCTTGTATGTATAATTACAATGTATCATATAAATCTATATTATACTTGTTTGTTAATGTTTATGCTGTTCTTGCCGAAACAAAACACAAGAACAACATATTATTACCATTTGCCAGTAATTGTATGCAATTATAAGTGGTTTGATTTAAAGAAGTAGCAAAATCTTTAAGTGGCATGCCACGCCTCCAGATTCATGCTTAATATTTTCATGAAAATTTTGAAAATGTTTTTAAAAGTAAAATATTATGAAGTGAACAAAGAAAGTAATTGACACATTGCAATTGGCACTTACAATCCGCGTAAATTACCAAAATGAAGTAAAAATATGCAGTAACGCAGTAGATATATAGTATGACGAAAATAGCCTGATACCTATATTAATTAACAGAGTTATTTCCCTTTGTTTTACAAACCCTATTTTTTTGTTAAATAAGGCTTATAAGCCCATAGCATGATGTAATAGTGGAGAAAGTCATAATGACAAACTCTTCAAGTATAAATACATTAATGTTGTGTTAAACTGACATATATATGTATAGTATCACATGATACACATGTAAACCAAAACATATACTGGATAAATGTTTAAAGTTTTAAACATATGTGATTGAATTACATATATTTAACAAATAATAGATTATATATTTAAATGTACTGGATATATCCATGATTCTTGCCACATTTTAAAACAAGAAATGTAGAATATAATTGATGCATATTTGATTCATATATAATGGTAATAACATAAACATAATGCAACTTAACAATTATGTCTACTAATTATTTGTGTATTATCTTTCTTTTCTTTTAAATTATCTAATTGAGGCCATGTGCAACAGCATACATTTTCAAAATTTAATAATTCTATAAATTTTGGCATATTTGGACCTCTCCAATAATATGCTGGTACTATGAAATTCTATTTGTCTTGTAAGATGTTATTAGAAAAATATTTTCTATTACATTAAACAACATATACAAATACATATCGGTTATGATACTTATGAAGCCGGTCATAAACACACGTCATAACATCTATACACAAAGACATACCCTGGCAAAAATGCAAGTATACATATTTATGTTTAAGCACATATCACTTATGAAGCCGGTCGTTTGTTACATTTTTGGGGGGAATGTTACACTAGATGTTCAAATCTCATAGTTCCAGGGGTTTTGGTTTTAATATAATGAAAATAGCTTTATATGCTTTAAATAGTACATAATGTACAATTAATGTAAACAAATAGAACAAATTTCAGGAAAAATATATAGAATTAAGCTCCTTGATCAAGGAGTTTCTTTCTTTTTGTATTTCAAAATGAAAAGTTGCATAGACATTTGAATGAACTGCTCTGAATTAAATAAGAACATTGATAATGAAAGGAAGATTCTTTATTTCCAGATATGTATTTCCATTGTGTTAAAGAAAATTATCATACAGACAGTAACCTTCTATAAAATATTTACAAAATAATAGTGATATAATCAGATTTATTCTTTAATAGATATTATACAGACTGAAGTAAATTATAAGTTTTCATAAGCTTGAATTTCTAATTACTAAAATACCAACAAATAAAATTTTCTTTTAAAAATTTACAGATCTTTTTTTAAATTGTTGTAATTAATTACTACCAATTGATGAAATTTTAAGTTTATTTATGTGAAATGTCAGTAACATTATTATCTGAAGATGTTATTATGATTCAGTGTTATAAGTTCATTATTTCTCAGTATTGATAGTTCTCTATGTTAATGTTTCAGTATAAATGGACTGCTGATCATTCATTAAAATTTACAGATTCAAAATATTTTTTTTAGGACTTTGTTTACAAACAAATTTTGATTATTATCACTTTTTCATTACTGAGGTCATAACCATATATAAAAATCATTTTTCTTATGATCTTCTTCCATTTCTTATAATAATTAAATTGGTCAAGTGATATGACAATGTGCTGGAATATGGAGACAAATACTTTATTCAGGGTGGTGAAATATATTTGTTTTTTGGGTTGTTTTTTTCATTGACTATATATTTGGCCAATAAAAAAATGATGTTCAATAGATCCTTAGACTTAATTGATCTACAGCTTACTTAATAATAGGCATTCTCTAACAGAAAGTCCCTCCCACTGTTTTGAAGTATATCACCCTATATTGGCACCCCCACTGGTTTGTAATATATCACACATCCCAATATACAATACACAGCTCCCAATATACAGCTTGTTAACTTCCAATAATGTGCCAGCCCCATCTGTATGTATATAGTTAGGATCCATATCCCACTGTTTTATGAGGGGCTGAAATTGGTCTGTATCCAACTGTTTTATGAGGGGCTGGGATAGATGATTTGTTTATTAATTAAGTAAAAAGATTGATCTTAAAAAATCTATGTTTTAACAATTGACTAATTTTAACCACAATGTCACTTCAACATTCTATATATCCTATTTTAATAGTTTTCTGTGAATATAATTATATCCTGATAAGATTATTCTGTTAAGATTATTCTATTTAATTTTAGTGTGAAATATTTCTA